GAATACGGAATGCCATCATGGATGCCTGGATGAAGAAAGAAAGTGATGACATAGAGCAGATGCAACAACGAGCCATAAAACTGGTGGACGGTCTCAGGACGTGGTCGTTTTACCGAGTGAGATTTTTATATGTAAAGGAGTGCACCCAGACGCTAACATCCTGGCTAGTCCAAAATATCATAGGATTATGCCACCCGACAGTCAAGATTGCAATCTCACCCAAGTAATAATTCTTAATAGAAAATAAATTTCAGGATTTCAGCCAACACTTCATGAGTTCGGTCACTCACTGTAATTAATGAATCGGTTTCAAAGAACGCCCACTGTACGCAGCCTGATAACAGTAAGGACAAGTGAAGACGTTAGCTGTACTTTGAAAGTGCACAAACTAGTGAACCCTCTTATCGGCATTCTGTACTGTCATTCCTGACGCGGTTTTTTACAAGTGAAGAGACAGAAATACAGAAACCGAGACCTGGACTATATCCATAATAGATGCTCCTTTTTGTGTAAGCCTTTTCGACTCTTGAGTAAATTGTTAACTTATATTCTGTCCGCAGTGGATGGTGCTCATTTTTTCTGAAAATGCTGAATTTATACTTTCAAAATAAAGCGAATTTTCTCTCTTCAGCGGCCAACTACACAGGCAAACAGTTCACCGCTAGGACCGTTTCTTGCAAATTTTTTCATGGACAAGATTTAGAAAACGCGTTTGAAGGGGGCCATTTAGTACCTCAACTTATACGGTCGGTGGACAGGCCATGACGTCGAAATCGACGCACTCTGAGGCGGATAACGATGTTGCGTTCTTCGAGGCCCTTCTGCACATACAACAGGGTGGGTCCATCCAGCGTACGATATCCCGAAAGAAAACTCGGACGAGACAATACCTTAAATTTCCCAGTCGTGTGGAAGGAGACGCAATCACTGGGATAAGAGTTTTAGTCGCCTAACGTCTCGGAGACAATAACTGCTATAAGGCGAATAAAGCTCTGGTACCAGCGATCGTGTATCCTCCTTCACGACTGCTTCCTGGGACTCGTCTCTTCGCTTCTGTTGGTCATTTTAGCAGTATTACCCTGAATATAAAACGAAATATAGTCCACAGATTGGTGGCTAAAGCGTGACGCATCTGCTACCGCAACTGTTGAAGCAGGGCTCCAGCAGCTGCAGAACACGCTTCGTGAAAGCGGCTATCCAGAGAGATCCATCCTCCGAATTACTGGGCAGCGTGGCACAAACTCTACCACCGCAATTGCAGACAAGGGAGACGCGCTTACAAGACTTCCTTTTCTAGGGGACGCAGTAAGAGGACTAGTAAGGCGTTCCAAGGCAGCTGTCACGAGCGCTTTCACTGTGGCGAACTTAACGTAGATGTGCTATCTCATGAAATGTTGACCGAAATTCCGATAGGCACTTTTGGTTTAATGAACTATTACTAAGGTGCACATTGAATGTGCAGTTCCCTTTTGACAACCAACTCTATAGAAACATAGACGGCGTTGCTATGGGCTCGCCTCTTGGGCCTCTCTCAGCCGACGTCTTCATGGGCAAGCCGGAGACATTTTAACTAAGCGATCAGTTCAAAAAGCTCAAACAGTACGGTCGCTACGTTGCTGATGTCGTTGCGATTGCAACCACAGAAACCGACGTTGCTGTCCTCCTAAACGCTGTACACTGAGCACATCCATCGATCAAATTCACGTCAGAGATGCAATCGGCCGGTTCGCTTCCTTTCTTAGATGTCCTTCTAAACAGGAGATCTGACGGGAGTATCCGACGGAGCGTCTATCGGAAGAAAACCTGGTCTGGACAATACACGAACATCGCTAATTTCGTACCTCTCCAACAAAAACGAAATCTAGTCAGGTGTTTGACACAAAGGGCTAGAACAATTTGTTCAACAGATAGTATCGAGGAGGAACTTAGAAAAATCCAGTACCTGCTTCGCTAAAACGGGTATCCTGACAGGTTCATTGCAAAGAACCTTGCCGAACGACCCTCAAAACCCACCACACTGACCGCCGAAAAGAAAAAAGGTGTTCCTCAAAGTCTCTTTCCAAGGAGACGCTGCAAGTGAACTCCCAAGAAGACGCATTGATCAAGCTGTCTCGAGAACCTTCCCAGCAGCAAGGGTTCACGTATCATTCACTACTAACCCTATTTTACGCAGAGAAGGCAAGGATAGGCTGCCACCTCAGACCGCCTCAAAGGGCGTCTACTCATTCACTTGCCCCTGCGGAGCAGGTTATACTGGTCGTACGAGTCGGCACCTTTCCAAAAGAATACGAGAGCGCCTTCTCGTACGACAGGCAAAAAGTCAAACTAGGAATATAAGCAGCGCCATCCCTGAACATGCAGTGGATTTAGGGCATCGTGTGGACCCCGCTGAAGCATTTCGTGTGATTTATAAGGTTCCCTCGAGCTACCGTAAGCTACTGGGCCAGCGCCTGTTAGTAACAGCAGAAGCGGCCGCAACCAGGTTATGAAAACCGACCCTATGCGCCCAGAAGAACCTCGTTCAGGCTGCACGCTTACCGTGGTCAACGGTTGACTAACCACATACAACTTACTGCGCCCTTCCGCTCTTGCCTAGCCTGTGTTTTAAAAACTAAATTTTATCGATTTTTTTTTCACTCACCGTACCCCGTCCCATATAACTGTACCGGCCTGACGAGAAGTTATCGAAAGCAACGTTCACTCACCACCTTTTCTTCTGAATAAAGTTGAAACATAAACTACCGCGCAGTATAATCCCAAGAGCCAGGGTGCTGGCTTTCGAACGAGCTTTCTTTCGGCCGTCCGCAGAAAACACACTGTAAAGAATGGCTATTTGAGTAGCATGAATTTTTCACGTCGATTTTTCAATGTCCCTATAAATTATAGAAAACATGCAGAAAAATAGTCACCCCTTTACTCATTTGGTAGTAAATTATGTTTCATACTTAAAAGAAGGGCGTTAATTGGTTTTGAAAAACTCCCTCCATTCCCGAGTAATTTTGAATCCGACCTACTGACACACTTGCAGTCAGAGTTTCCAAACTACAAGCTGTATATTTTCTAGGTAAGGAGAATCATGCATCATGGAAATACCGTACGAGGTTCATAGAATTTTACAGTATATTCGAACCACATGGTACACTTTACAAGTAACACTAGTAAATATAGAGATACGGTGTTTTATGAATAGACATCACAGTTTTAAAAAATCTCAGAATCAGAAGCTGTTTTTAAACCAGAAGATATTCTTCACGAAAGTATAAAAGCTAAACAGACGTAATTCGCTACCAAATAAGTAACAGAATGAACATTGATGTGCGTGCTTCTTGAAAGATATATTTGAATTTATAAGGGCATGAAAAATCAATGAGAAAAAAAACTCATATTAAGTGGACATTTTTACGGCGTAGTTTTTGCAGACGGCCGGAAAGAAGTTAGGTCAGCTGTGGTTATGTAGCCGCACCTGAAGTAAACAGCTCCCAACCACCTGTAATACGGGATCGGTTGTAATAGGGGTTTTTACAGATGGTGCCGGGGAACCTACATGAGACGAGGTTAAGTAATTGTATGCAAAAGAGGAGCTGTTTGGAATGCGCGGTTGTACTTTGAGCGGTTGAGAAGTAATTGCCGTAACCCTAACCCCAAAAGTATTGTCCATCGGTTGGTGCTACATAACCACATCATACCAGTTCATTCAAAAGCCGGCGTTCTGACGTGACTGAAGTATCTTGCGGCTACGTTGCACTACAACCCTTCTTACGCAACCCTTCCGAGTCGAAAGCGCATTCCAGAATCCCGGTCAACATTTCACGAGCTAGCGCGTCCACTATACGCGAATTCTCTGCGAGAGGTAAACCTTCTACCACTACAGACCACGTCGATGTGCATCTGTTCATTCGCCTGCTCCCGTGGAGAGGGATACATTAGCTGTATAGCGAGGTGTCTGAAGAAGGGAGTACACGAACACATACCCGCCGAACTAGGTAAAGGTGAAAACAGATCGACTTCGAGTTCCACCCTCGTGCATCTTGTCTACACGAATCACCAAGTCGACACCGAAGAAGTCCATCAAGCTCTCAGGCACCGTCAAACTACTCTAGAAGCCTACGCCAACGCGTCGGCAACGGCGACTAGCGGGTCCAGCACCTTGTTGTCAGCACGAGCGAGCGTCCTACTGCACGTACCCAACGCCAAATCTAAGTGGCGATCGCACACCAACCAACCCCGTTGATGACAGTCATACGTACTCCGCGCACTTAACACAGCACTTCGACCGTCGTTGCCGACACGATGTCCACCGTGTGCTCTACAACAAGGTAGCGCAGGGACGGCGACTTTTGCGTGAATTAATTTATACTGAATGTGGATTTTCACAGCACCTACCGCACTCTATCCTCCCCTACCTGGGCACGGCGTCAAGACATAGTCAAGAAGACGGGAGATGAAGGAGGGCGCGGTCGAGCCCGCACCTTGGCGTTCCACTCCACACAGCAAATGACCAGGTTTTTGACCAACAACAATGAGGGAACGGCAGGGGTCCCAGTGCGCGCGACGTCTGCCGGCAACCGGGTCTGCCACCGCATCCCGAAATGTTGGCATTTGGTATGGTGAGCGATCCCATAATGCCTGTCAGAATCCGTTTGGGGGGCAGTGCACTTAACACACGAACATCGATCACACCCCATCCCCCCGGGCCAAATGACAACACTTCGACCTCGTCATGAGAATGAAGAGTATGACTAACCCCTGAGATATCTATAAACCCTGTCTACGACTCGCATGTCCACTCTTCATGCGGTGCTATCGTCCTGATGATTAGCTGCCAGAAACATATGGCAAAAAGCGTTTTGAATGAAGAAAATTGATGCTTCACAGCAGAAAGGCACAGGGAAGAGTAGTTTAAACCGACGGAATGCTCTGAAAGCAAAAAAGAGGGGGGATTTATTCTGTTCGGGAACGAATGCTGATGAGAGCAGTTGGCCAAAAAAGCAGCGGCAGTATCAGTCTTGAAGCTCCGTTAAGGCAATCAGACTAAAGTGAAGATTTTCTGGGTCACGTTCCATAAACTTCTTGACGACATTGCAGGCATCCTCTAGAAGACTGTCTGCGGAAGTCGTGCCATGACAGACGGGCCCATCGCGTCGGCCGTCTAGAGGGGTGGAAGCCATGCAGGAAAGAAGGCAAGGAAGTAAATAAAAAGCAATTACAAGTTGACAGCAAAAGCAAAAATATAAGCTCCGGCGATGATAGTAACAGTCATTTTTTGTTATCCTTGAAGCAACGGTAGGGTGTAGGACCCTCACTAACTTGAGCTAGTCTGTGGACCGTGTCATACCCGCCGAAAGTCTTATCTTACGCGACCATTTGGCAAAGAAAGTGAGCGCGATAATTAAAAAATAAACAAAAAGCAACTTTCGAAAAATAACGGACTTTGGATAAACCGCCGCTGGCAAGTTTACATTTGGTCAGGAAGGCAAGGAAATTTCAAATAAAGTGATGTTTACAGTTAGGCCGAATTGCCAACTACGTGGGGTTCTACACCCTACCGTTGCCATCATTGATTTCACATAATCATCGGACTTTCACCCCGAGACGGATCCAGACCGGTTGAGTGCTACCGGCGAGCAGTCGTCGACTGTGCAAGATCCGATATTCGCAACGCGGCTGAAGTAACGTCTACGCGGGGTTTTAAGGCAAACGTCGTATACGTATAGCGCGTAGGCAACCGAACGGCAATCACTTCGGTAGTCCGTGACACCGAAACAGATAACAACAACTTAGAAGGGCGCTCATCAATTGCGCTACGGTTCCACCGAGCTACCTTAAGCCACGGTGTCAACGTCTGCTAGAGACAGCAAAAGAGATTGCCATCAGGTTGCGGCAGCCAGAATTGTGCGTGTACGTGATAGATGCGCTGGACCAACACCGGAGCTAAACCGGGATGCAGTCGGCGTTATTAGGAATGCCCGCCCATAACAATGGCGTTGTGTGGCGGCAGGCCCAGGTGCAAGACCAGTCCGCACTAATTGGAATCTGAGAACCCCTCCCCTTTTTGTTGTATAAAATCCTGGTCGGTGTGCGTTGTAGACCAGGGCGTGTGGCGGTACGCCTAGGTGCGGGTTTACGCCGTGAACAGCCGCCTGTATCCTCCTCCGTCTCCGGTCATCTTGACTCTGTCCTGATATGCGGCCCAGGTGGTGGAGAGAGTGCGGTAAATGCAGCGGAAGTCTCCCACCACTGCAAACAAATTTGCTCGCGAGTCACCGTCCCTGCTCTCATCCTGCTATGGAGCACGTGGTGGACCATCGAACTTACGGTGCAAGAGCTGAATCTACCATGGCAAAGGTCCGGTTAACCGCATGCACACCTCCAAGCCCCCCCCTTGCACGACTCTACATATGCCTCACTGCCTCACCCCCTCCCCCTAGTCCTGCATCCCACTTGTGGGAGATGACGAATTGTAATCGATCTTTCTTATCCCTCGAATGCTTTTCTGGAATCCTGGCTCGGCCACGATTTATCGAAAGCACACGGTACGCTCGCCAACTTCTACACATTTTCACCCTACGACCAAGACATATCGGCTAACTCTACACTCATAGAGGAGTATAACCAGTTTTCGTCCGTGTAACGCCTCCGCTGGGTGAAATAATGCCGGTGGCTTGGCATAACCCAACGAAAGACGTCAAATTTACCTGTGATTTAGCAGATGTCTTCGAGGCACAGAAAAAAGAAAGAAAGACGGACGCTGACACTTACCTAGTTCAATCAACTTCCCGTGACAATTCACAAAGGCAACAAAGTGCAGATCGACCTTGGCTGTGGCTTCAGGGGCCTACGAGACAAAGTGCACGAGACGGGTGTTTACCTCAGTCTGACCCTCCAGGGCGCATTCCTCGTGCATAGTGCTGAGCTCCTGTACAAAAAAACGGGGGTAACAAAACGTACCTGCACATACCTGCTCCTGCTCCAGCTTCTCGCCACGTTCAGCTGGCGAAAGGCTTTGAGTCTGTTTAATGTAATTGTTCAGCCAGGTCATATCTACAAGGCAGAGAAGGCGGAACACAGTGAGACGACGTCACTGTCTACGGTTCTAATTATTAAAATTACAGAAGACCACGTCAGGCTTCTTCTTCTTCTTCTTCTGCAGTCTGGATGAAGGACCCCCTTAGACTACCACCAGCGCAACTGGTGGGAGACTGCCACTTTCGGTGACGATCTACGGTCTTGATGCGGCCTTTATAGAGCTTCGGCTGATGTGAGATCCGAGCCGTCGTTGTAGAAACCTGATACACGCTAAATATCATATAGATGTTGTAAAGTTCTGGAAAAAAAGCACAATACATCACTAGTGTTGTCTCTGAAATCAGGGCCACGCATATCATTTCGCAAGTTTTCAGTGTTCGAACTGCCTGGTCAGTTATTCTGGTGTACGCACTATCACAGGATAATGGTTGTTGTTGATGATAATGATGATGGTGACGGTTATGATGGTGGTATGCGTCACCTCGAGAACGAGGTCGCTAAGAACAGGCTGCTGGCGCGTCATGAGAAGTCAGAACGTCTGCGCGAGGCGGACAACGCCCGGGCACAGCTGCAGAGGCTGCGCAACCATGTGCAGGACATGACTCCCAACTGCCGTACTCCACACACTCGAGTGACGGCCAGTGGGCGAAAACGCGCCTCCAAGATGGACACGGATGCTGAGGAGGATCTTGCACGGGACAAGCGCTCTCGCAACGAAAATTAACCGCCGACCGTGGTAAGTGGTGTGAGGGAATTCGAGGTGGTCTGACATTGATGGGGACCGGTGGTACACCGAGGAAAAGCCTAATGAATATCGACCTTTGACATCTAAGCGCGAAGGTGCTCTTAAGAAGTATCTATTCCTCAGGAGATTTTAGTAAATTGGAATAGTTGACATTCGCCAGCAACGACAGTTGGGTCGGCCACGAGCCCCCGATTGCACTAACAGCACAAAGGCCTCTATCTAAAGCCATTTCCAGAATTTAATCAAACAGCTTCTGAGCAGGGCCTTTGCTGCTGCGACCTCTACTAAGGTGGTCATTTGTGGTATCGTGTTTGTACTATTACTGGTTTGTGTTGGTTGAAATCCTGGTCATTTGTTGTGTGGACCACGGGGTGTGGTGGAACGCCAAGGTGAGAATCCGTCCGAGCCATTCACCTGCGGCCTCCCTCGTCTCCGGTCTTCTTGACTCCGTCTTGACACCGGGCTCGGGCGAGGGAGGAAGAGAGAATGTAGGTAGATGCTACGCAAGTCTACCGGCACTATAAACCCCTGCGTACGTCACCGTCCCTGCTCCCATTGCTGCTGCAACTGTGGGGCACACGGTGGACATCATCGAAACCGATGGTCGAACTGTCATGCGGCACGATGTCTTTAAGAGGTGTTGACAGTGGAAAAACGTCCCAGCTCGCTCACTTCTTGTGGCGGACAATTGGAAGACAGGGACGGCGGAGTACGAGGCCCCGGTCACTATGCAATGGAAAACTTATGTGAATGGCGAGAGGCTTATCAATCTCGCTACGCTGAGCCAATTGGTTATTACAAGTGTCCACTTCCGACACCTCAGGAAAAAACATTGTCGCCTGGTATTTAAGTGTTGGTCAGAGTCAAGGTCAACTTGACCATATACTTGTTCCGGCACGCTGGGTTAGCTCAATGGACTCTCGCGCTGTGCCACCACTGGTACCGAGAATAGTCTTAACAAGGTTTTTGTGAGGGTTCGACTACGATTCAGACTACGTACAGACGAAAAGGCATGACCGTAGACCACCCCAAGCTGCTTTCCGAATATCTCTAATCTCCTCAATAACAGTGTGAAAGGTTCCGGCCTAAAATCAACTGGCTTTAACTAAGGCAGTTCAAGCGCAAGTCGTTGTTGATTGCACCTGACCTGCTGATAATGAAAGATCTGTCCATCGTAGCAGGCTGGCGTCAGGGACTGAGTTACGGTGGCTACTGGTTACGCTGTGTGTTGACAAGCCACCGAGGTTATGTCAAATAATTTAGGCTTGCCACCACCGAACAAGGACAACACTCTGTGACCGGTGAGTGGAGAGATTTCCTTAATATTACTTCTGGTGACCACCAGGGCTACGTTCCCTCATTGACCTCGTTCAACTGCGTGGTAGACTGAGTTTTTCGGCTACTCACGAGTACCGGTAGGTTATGGTTCGTGTATTACGTATCATCACTATCCTGATGTTGTAGTGCTGGAAAGTTCTTTTTGCAAAAGCGCGGCGAGCGATGTCCTGAGTAAATGCAAATACAATATGGATGGGCACGAGGAAGCTCACTGGAGCAGAGTTGTGATGTTGCTGACGTTTTGGAGGGCTTGGACAGCTCACCATTGTCAACGGGTTCTATGCAGAATATTGGCCAGAATTTTAAATGACTAGCCGTGCTATTCGGTCTTAAACTGATCGACTTTCTCCGAGTTGCCAAGTTATGCTTGTTTCGCCCGGAAACTGGAATTGCGTTGGGGAAAACGGGCGAGAACTTCAGACATGCGCACGCGAACACAGATTGGCAACTCGGAGGCTAGACCCAAACTCAACTTGCAACTCACACCAAACAAACTTGCCACGTTTTTTTACCTTCAAGGAGCGACCATCTTAGGCCAGAGCACCTCAAGGACAGGACGGTTTACAGTTAAGGTGTGGCATTCAGATGCCAACTCTATCAACGGGCGTCTAGACCTTCCTGTGGCTTACAACGTTCTGCGTTACTACAGGACAGGATGGTCCCACCGAACATAAGGAAACTGAGCAGACGCATCCCGCCGATGAACTCGCCCGAGGGAGAGGCAGAGGTTCAACCAACCTCAGTAGAGGTGACGATTCGCAGCGCAAGCGGCCGTCAGGCCCCCCGAGTATCCGTCAAATGTCCGAGGCAGCGAATGATGAAAAAGTCGACCAGTCTCGGTTCGACTAACTCGGTCAGTCATTTAAAATTTTGTACGATATTATGTATTAAATGCCTGGACAATAATGAACCGACCAAGCTCTCTGAAACTTCAACAACATGATAACTCCGCTCTGATGAGCTTTTCCTCTTTCTCAGGTTATCAGCCTGGAACCTTCATCTTTGACAACCTAAGAAATGGACCTGAAGACTAGCTCTTACATGAAAGAGAAAAACCTCGGGCTTTGCGGCCGACCAAGGTAAGACTCTAAGACCAGCGGACAACTTTTGTTGCTTCCAGCCCAACCATCCTTCAAACGTACACTGTAAAAACGACAATCGGATCAGCCAGCGGCGGGCAGCCTTTATCACAGGTGACTGAAATCCCCGCGATAGGTGAGAGCAGACTGAAAGTAAAAGATGCTTCCACTAAAACGTTATCCGCGAATCCGATTCTCCAATCGCGTCTTTAATGAACGGCCATATATTCGGTCGGAAAAGGAACCCTTCAACTGTTGACTCAGATGGTCCGGTGGAGTGATGCATCGACCTGAGAGCAAAATCTGAATGTAAACTCATACGATTTCAGTCCGGGCTAGCGACGGCGACGAGACCGTCAAATTAGGACGTGGGAGTCGTGGCGAGGGCTGACATCAGGCCCGGCTGTGACCCAGCTGTCTTAGATCTTCGCAGCTAACGTGATAACCGGTTCGGCTTTGGCTGAGAATCTGCCGTTGACCGACCGCACCGGGCGGCAACCACGATTAATGCTCTAAACGGGAAATATGGAGTCAGCTAGATCAGTGGCGACGAATGTCATAGGTGCAAATGACTTAACGTAACGGATTCAAGGATGAGTTTGGTACAGTATGGTAAATACGCGACAATTTGCGGCAATTTTGAGTACAGAGGACACATCTACCACCTTTGAAAAGTAACGCCAAATAATGGCGCAGTTAATTTGCAATAAGAATCCTAAAGCGAATGCCTCAGTAAAATTCAGAAGCTCGCTGCATCTCCTCCCTGTATTTGGTGGGCGGACATGCCCGACCAAGTGACACCAGTGAAAGTTATAAAACCAGATGCCCCCAAACTCGGACAAAGTAACGATAGTATAAAAGTCCCACAAGTTGGAACTTGGGAACCTTAACATGCAAAAAGAAAGTTGCAAGCCACTCAACCGAGTAAATTACTCTGATACTAAGGTGACCCACCACTTCAACAGTTTGGCCGTCGCGAACAAGTCCGCTGTGGGTCCCACGGAGTGGCCGCCGAAAGACGACTTGCGCAGAATCTACCACAGTCTCCTCTCTAAACACTTTGCTACGGTGCCAAAACCATGTCGAGAAGACTGGCGGTGGGTCGAGCGCAATGGGTGACACAGCTGGACAGCCCGTCTACGTGATCTGGCTACCATTAAATGTGTCAGGTTTTTCAGGGTGGTTCGGAGTTAAAATGCGCCGGAATGCCATAAAAGCAACATTAACGAGCCATTGCAACCCGACTCTCAATCACGAGAAGGATCAAGTTGTCCTACCAGCTAACATCCCTCTAAGCCTAACTTTGGCGCGTCGTGATAGGTTATCGCGTCTCGACTATTATAGTGAGGGATGCGCTGGGGTAATATGGTTACGGATTTCCTAGTGTCGGCCTCACTCCTTCTCCAACGCACCGTCTGACAGTCCAAGCATGTCGGCCAAGGGGCGGTGGAATTGACCGTGGTGTCTGCCGCGACATGGAAGCCAACGTCAGGATGTGCAGCCACACTCCTCACACGTACGATAGTACTAATATGCTTACACGGATTGCACAGCCTGAGTAGCATGTACCCTGGGGCAATATGTCCTCGTTTTGATCCAGTACCTCTACGTACAGAGAACCACAACACTGAGCCTTCGCCACCGTGGAATGCGTCCTACTAGTACGTGACAGAAACTACTAAATAAACAATTTAGGTGAGTATAATACTATCTCACAAGTGATTAGGCAAACATACTCGTTGTATCAATCTTGTCCCTGATATTGGCCAACGCGTGGAGGACTGCAATCGTTCCACATGCGTTTGAGATGGTTTGTTTTATGAAGAAACAATCTTCATTTACTGATACATCACCTATCGTCTGTGAGGTGACATTTTCATTGAGCGGATACAAAAGCAAAAGCGCAAACAGAGGCTTCGGCACGAGTGCTTGTAACACAGGATCAACGCCGAGTACGTCGGTAAAACCTAGTTGATTAGGGACACCAAGCTGGCGTATGAACTAAAGCGTCAAGCAAAAGCACAGTTTTACTTTATTCAGGACATCTGGGTTTGATTCAATGGGTATCCAGCGCATGACGTCGGCGAACACGATTTTGACGGAACGTCGCCGACTTTAATTCTGACAAGTTAAAACTGGGGAATTAAAACACATCCCTTAAGTCCACTGGAGGCGTGAGAGAAGGCTTAAACGATTTTATCCTTTAATAATCCCAATATCCTCAAGGTGTGTGCTAACCAGAAACTTTCAAAAGATCCTCACATTTTTCCTCAACGAGCCATGATTATATGCCAGTGCGCATAGTCAGCCAAGGTTGTGGCTCTGTATTTTCAGGCTTGAGGCCAAACAACGGAGGGCTCAGTAACAACGAACAAAGGAACAAGAACCGGCTTGATTTACAAAAAGCTTATTGACAGCACTGGAATCAAACAACGAGAACAACAACAAACAATACGCACACGAATCCCAAGGAAACGCCTAAAGACGTCAAAAGCAAAACAGAAAAAAGTATGAAAAAAGTACACGAGAATCGCCAACGAAAAGACAAATATAGCTCCCTAA